TTTTGTGTTATACTTTGATTGTGTGGTGGTATAAAATGAAAAAGAAGTTACGTGTATCAAGAGAAGAAGAAAACGGACAAATTTAATTGAGGCTGTCAGGCAACAGATCAATCAACAGTGCAATTGTGTATTTGTGTCGGTAGATAAAGTCATCACTTGTGCACGTTCTATATTTCATTGGTTAAATCGATACATTCAATGGATTTCTAGTGGCCATATAAATAACATATTGGTGCTCCTGAGTCAAATAATGAAAACAGTTGTTGCTTGAATTGCTCCCTCCACACATGAAAAAAAGTGAAAGTTGAATGACAAGAAACATTGTCCGTAAAATTTCGTTCATGCCACAAAATTACATATCAAATTGAATTTGATTTACATTTGTAAGTTTTTCTCCAAGCAGACAATTGACATGATAAAGTTTTTCCTTCACAATTGATACTTGTGTCATTTTTTTTCAAAACTTTTTTACGTAATTTCATTGAAATTTCAGAAATTTAAAAACTCTGCATATAGTCATAGTAAAGTCATTTATAGTAAAGGTCTAATACGTTGCTTGTCGCTTGTGTATACGTAAGCAGTATCGCAAATAAACTCAGAAAGTTCAAGTAAAACTTCATTTCATTTTTTGGTAGTTTCATTATGAATAAATCGATTTTGTATGAATTTACTTTTTTATGACAGAAAGGAAAACACATTTAGCCGTTAATTTTTGGAAACAATGTCAACTCCGTTTGCATCGAAATTATTCGAAAATTCGAGCAACAATACTGACGGTTGGGATGAATGGGACTGGGTAGATAATAACAATTCGTCTAGTGCAAAGGGTCAACAGCAGGCGCAGTTTATCTCACAGCCCGTCCAAATTGGTTTCGCAGCTCAAAATATACAGGCACAAGTGTCAGATAATGGGTCAAACTACTTAGGCCCGTCCAACCAAATTCCACCACCAACAATAGATCAGTTTACGGCAACTTTGCCAAATAATAATCAGATAAATAATGCTAGCGGATTTTATCAAGATGACAATTTCCAGTTTCAAGCATCATTTGTGAATAATAATCAAAGTGCAAATAACAATTTCGTGCAATCAGCAACGCCAAGTATTCAACATGTTCACAGTTCATCAAATTCAGTAGGTTTTATGCAAATTGAGGGCCATGAAACCACTATAACTCCTGTACCAGTCCTAACGCCCCCAACCGGAAATCCCGCTATAGACCAGAATATTCAGAACGTACCTCTAAATGCAAAATCGGAAATCGGCATGGTTATAGTTGCAAGTGCACAAATTCAAAATCCACCAGCTGCGACTTTATTGGAATCTAATAATGCGCCGAGTGTCCCAGTTTTTAGTAATAATCTATTACCACCAGTTCTACCACCACCGGCATTTAATCAGTCACCATTTGCAAATACCAATCCTTTCAAAAGAGTTGGCTCTCATGCACATAGAACACCACCTCCACCACCTGTATTGACTGCTTCATCTGCGGGTCCAATTCCAACGGCTGAAATTTTTAACAATCCGCTACACTCGCCAGATACTAACGATCCAATAACTCATAATGATAGAAATGAGTATTTGCAAACCGGTCATTTGTCAGGGGATGGTGAAATCAATGTACTTACATCAACTGTAGATACCCAAACTCTATACAGCTCCAGTGATGGGAACGGTGATAGCTTGCCACCACCAGGCCTATCAAGATTTGTTTTAGGTGAACAAGAAACAAACGAGTCGAACAACATACAGCCACCACCAGGATTAGATCGTCTCGTTACAGGCACCGAAATCAATCAATCCGATATAAATATGGAGCGTCAAGCTGATGGTCAAGATAACGCCGACGCAACAGTACCACCACCAGTTATCAGTCGAAACAACAGTCAATTCTCAAGTGTTCAAGCACATCCATCGGCTTCGAACCTATCCTCATCGCATTCGATTGAAAGTCAAAGCTACGAAAATGATAACTTCGAACCAATATCAGAATCTGATCGTAATCAGTATTTGGTAGCCGGAGAAAATATTGTGGACAACACAGCATCGGCTAAAATTATATCAAATGCAAATATTCAACGAGTGGTCACTGGACTAGAGAATGTTGAAAATCAAGATATTTCTTTGCCAAAAAATCAGCGTGAACTGGACATGGATGGAGAAAATATCGAAGATCAACAGCAACAACAGCAACAAACTCAAAGTCGTTTGGGAAATACAACGAATACTCTATCACACACAGATTCAGTTGAAGACTTAGATACATCCGGCAATTATAACCAGAAATTTCAGTCAAATGCATCAACGGGAGATGATAGTGATCGTGATAAAGCCTATTATAATCGCAACAAAGGTCAATCAAATAAAAGAGTTGATGAAAGGCGCAAAAAACGAGACGATTTACGATATGAAACCGAAGATACTGACCATAGCAATCGAGAGAAAAGACATCCGAAAGATAGTGACCGATATACCGAAAAAGAGAGGGGCCACCGGGGTAGAAATGTTGACATTGATGATGATGATAGCCGTACATATCGACGTGGCGAAAAACAGTATCGACCTCCTAGCCGTGATGATGAAGATCGATATGAAGGACGATACAGGTAATTCGAGGCACATGAGTTCATTTCAAAAGTAGGAGACTTTTAGAGATAAATTCATATGCATTATAGTTTATGATCCAATTTGTCTGAAATATTTTTTTCGCCTTAAACAGATATGGTGATGGCAGATCGCACCGAGAAAATAGATATCGATATGAAACAGATGGGTCACATTATGAAAAAAAAGACTCTCGCTATGACCGAAACCAACGACCCAACGATCGAGAAAGAGAAGATAATTATGGACGATACCGTGATGATAGATACTACAAGTCAAAAGAATATGATCGTGAAGGCAGAGACGAACGAGGTAAATAGCGAATAAAAAGACGAAATGAACATAAAACATATGAGTGGTCGGGAATAAAAATGACTAAAGTTGAACCTATGGATAACCGTAACACAATATTCTTGATTTTTAAAAGTGCAACATAAATTCTGTTCGCTTGAAAGTGAATCGTAAAATATCTCGTGTTTCACTTTAATTGAAGCAAAAATGTTTGATACACTTTCAAATTTTTTTTTTAACTTTTTTTCGATTTTTGCCTGTTTCCTGTCTACATGGGAAGTTTGTATGAAATCCTTGTAGCGCGGGTCTGCGCCGCTGTAATTACATTGGTTTATATGGTAAACAAGCTGTTGTGTTACGAACAACAGAGTTGCTCGCTACGATTCTATTGATGTTTACTGCGCACAAAATATTGCACACAAACACAAACACGATTGAATAGGTCTCGATCTTTACAAGCGATCATGAATGTAATGTTGAATTAGTGCCTTACAATATTGAATGTACTATATTTGTATGCAATACAAACACATTAGCTACGCTTCTTCTCATTATGTTCATTCATAATCGCTTGTACGATGCGTCCGTAGACGTGCATACTCCTACGTGTGTGTGCAACATTTAGTGCGCGTTATTTTTAAGAGAGATGAATCGACCAACTCTGTTGTTCGTAACACAACAGCTTGTTTACCATACAAACTAATTAATGTAATTACAGCGGCGCCGGCCCACTCTCCGAGGATTTCATACAAACTTCCCATGTAGACGATCGGAAACAGGCAAAAATCGAAAAAAAGTTAAATTTTTTCTTTCGATTCTTATACAGTATTTCATGTGCCCAATCCAATGGTGTTATCGGCACATCGAAATTCGCGCTCCTTATCACTTAATTTTCACTCCGAAGCCAAATCACAACCAAAACCACCATTACAATGAATCATCATTCCAATGGACTTGAAAGTGTATCGAACATTTTTGCTTCAATCAAAGTGAAACACGATTTCTATAGTCCACAGATATTTTACAATTCACTTTCAAGCGAACAGAATTTATGTTGCACTTTTAAAAATCAAGAATATTGTGCAACGGTTATCCATAAGTGGTTCAACTTTAGTCATTTTTATTCCCGACTACTCATATTCAAATAATAATATATCGACCATTCCACACGAAATCGACCAAGAATTGGATCGACCATCTCAAAATTGGTTGAAAATTGGTTCGGAGTCTTGTTTTCGGTAGAAAATGAGAAAACCAAAATCTTAGGGCTGCAAGTGGCCTACTCTTCTGAGTTCACCTAGTGTAAGTTTTTCGGAAAATTGAAAAAATCGAAAAAATGGGTTTGCGGCAACTGGAAACTAACTGAGAAGAATTTGACATATTGTCAAACCTATGATATTGTTGGAAAGGGAATCGATGAGGCTACAAAAACCGCAAAGTCACCTACCGCATTTGACTCCATTGGGGCTTCTAAAATTGGGTTCAAAGTATAAAATGTTCAAAAAGTCAAAAACATGGTCCATTTTTGGTATATTTTTTTGCGTTAAAAGATAGCCCGTGTCGCGCCGCTTTTGATAAGCATTTCAAAACTTTTGAATCACCCAGAACAAAATCGTTATTTTGGCCTCGAAAAGTGGATCATATCTTATTTTTCAGCGGTTTTGTGGGTAATATGGTCGAAAATGGCTTCTTACGATGTTTTGATCTGAGGAAACTGCTATTTCTCCTGCCAAAATAAATGAAGATATGATCATTTGAACATCTGTTTACCATAATACCCGATCTGAGGATTTTCAGCTCGACATCAATTTTGAAGAGCTACAAGCCGTGAACACCAAGAAAGGCACGGGTCCCGATGGTATGCACCCGTTGATACTGAAAAACTGTGCGAGTCATTTGGCGGCTCCACTCACCCATTTTTTCAACGAATCATAGTAACTGGCCATTTCCCCGACAAATGGGAGCGCTCGAGTGTATCACCCATCTTCAAAAAGGGGGCGAGATCGAAGATTGAAAACTATCGTTGCATTGCAAAGCTGCAAACTGTGGCGAAGTTCTTCGAGCATTTGGTGAACGTCAAACTTCTGTCACTGGCAGGACAAAATCACCAAAAAGCAACACGGCTTTATGAAATCCAGATCTACTGCATCTAATCTCACCGAATTTATCAGGAAAACAACTCCAAGAGTCGTGAAAAAACCTGATCTTTTCGTGTTTATACAATATATGGTAATTTTATACAATAAATAGTTATAATAGTCTTTCTCGATTGGTATAATAATTTGGTCTAAAAAGCATTGACACAAGATAACCTAACCAATACATGGAAATGCATAGGTGGCCGAAATGTAAACGGTCCAATATAGCCTAACTTGAACGTGTAAAAAATGAAAGACTAACTGAAGCATTAACTATCTAGTGACGGCCCTAATGACTGCAAAAGTCATCATTCAATTTATCCAGAGGTGATACATTGAAGAAAAGTTTTACATCCAATCTAACAAGTCCCTGTTGGTAGTTATGAATTCTTAATTTAGTAGAGACCGAAAGGCATAAGAACAAAGTACTTCCGTAAAAACCGATCGATTTCTGCCCAATGGAAAAAATCTTTTCAGAGGTCGCTTTAGTGATCCGATTCGTGTTTCATTTTAGTAAAAATCAACAACTACACAGATTTTACGTTCTTTCCCACACAGAGATATACAAACACCAATGTAGTGTCCGTATTCATTGTATCTTTCGGCATCTGTCTCTCTCTGTATCATCTATAGTGATGCGTAATACTTTTTTATTTATTTATTTATTCATTTACACCGCCAAAAACTGGCTGAATACTTTGTTTGCAGGAAAACGACTCCAAGAGTCGTGAAAAACCTGATCTTTTCGTGTTTGTACATACAATTTAGTGTGTGATAATTATAATAGTTGTCCTTCTTGATTTGGTCTATAAACATTTTAACACAAAATAACCTAACCAACACATGGAAATGAGTAGGAAGCCGAAATGTAAACGGTTCAAAAAAGCCTAACCTAAATATCCAAAATGAAAAGCCAGTGGAAGCGTTAACATTGTAGTTGCGGCCCTAATGACTGCAAAAGTCATTATCAATTTATCAAAGAAGTGATATATTGAAGAAAAGTTTTACGTCTAATCTAACAAGTCCCTGTTGGTAGTTAAAAATTTACAATTTAGTAGAGACCGAAAGACAGAAAAATACAATGAGTTTTTCAAAAACATTGACAAAAGAAAATAATTTCCATTATAAAGCAATAACCGGTCAAAAGTTAATCACCAACTCAAAGGATGGCTATATCACAGTCAATGATGCTAAATTTCCAATAAATACATATAAATATCACAGATAATATCATTATTTTTATACAGATGTGAGGATGTGAGAAAACAATTTGTCAATATTTAATATCAAATCCTTAGCTCCGCCCGCCGCGCACCGACGAGACGAAGCCTGGACGGCTGGTTGAGTTTCTGAATTGATCAGCCACTTTGTTAGCAAGCTTGCACATTTGAGGCACCTGGGCTCTGAGTTGTTTGTCCATGAGCCTGTCTTTGATTTTGAAGTAGTCAGTGTGCCGTAGTTCGCGTACGCTCTCTCCTATTGCGATATCGTTGCGTACATTGGGACAATTTGCGATCCCATTAACGATGTCATACATGAATACAACTGATGCATTCATCCTCCTACGCTCCAAAGAAGTCATGTTCAGAGCTTCCAGTCGCTATAAAAATATTATGGGGGGGTATTTGTTAGGGTACTTTGACGAGATCTATCGATTAAACCCACCCATTTTGCCTTCTGACCCTCCACTGACCCTCTTTCGGGGACCTGCAAATCGAAAATATTATCTCCCTCAGTAAATTGGTCAGGGAAGGGTCGGCGGGCAACATTGGTGGGTCTAATCGATAAATATTGCCAAAGTAGTCTAACAAATACCCCCCCATTTGGGGGGGTCAAACCCATCCCCAAGCTCAAAAAATGGATTTCAATGATTCAACGGTTCACGGTATATTTTCAAATGCGATTTTCGGGCTTGGGAGTGGGTTTTACCCCCCCATATGGGGGGTATTTGTTAGACTAATTCGACAATATTTATCGATTGAGACTATCCGTTTACCCAAAAAATGCCATCTGGTGTTTGCTCCAGTACAAAATATTGTAAAAATAATCGATTTTTGCACTTTTTCAACCATAATTCGCAGGTTATTCATTTTTTTGGATACTGTCTTCGGCAAAATTGTGGCCGTTGTAAAAACAAACAACTCTTCTGAACACTTAACCCAACAAAATCACATCCAATGTGTTTTGAGTTAGGATTTTTGAAAGTGAAATTTCGAGCCAAATAAGTGGTCAGAACATGCTTATTTTGGATTTATATGTTCAGAAAGGTTGTCTTTTTTTACACTGGCTACTTTTTTGCCGAAGACCGTGTCCAAAAATATTGAATAAATTTCGAATTTTAGTCATAAATACGGAAAAAAAGTGAGAAAAAAACGGTTTAAGTACTCTTAAGTACTCTTAAGTACTCTTAAGTACTCTTAAGTACTCTTAATGTACATCATAATATAGTTAGGATTAAAAAAAACAAAGATTTGCGCAATCTGGAAGAAATTATTTTTTCTCCCGGGAAGAAATTCAAACAACATCCCAGGAAATTAATCAGGGGAGGGTCAGTGGGCAATATGGGTGGGTCCATTCGATAGGTCTCGTCAAAGTACCCCAACAAACACCCTTCCAACAGGGCGTAAAACCCATTCCTAAGCTTGAAAATTGGATTTTTATGATTCTTCCCATTGAATTAATGGTATATTTTCAAATGCGATTTTTGGGCTTGGGAGTGGGTTTTACCCCCCCAAATGGGGGGGGTATTGTCAAAGTACTTTGACGAGATCTATCGGTTGGACCCACCCATATTACCCCCTGACCCTCCCCAGACCATTTTTTTGAGTAATGTATATGTAAGGGAAGCATCATCGATAATAACCCTGTGGGGGGTCAGGAAGTGGGTCAGTCGACATCGGGGGAAGCTCCAATCGATAGATCTCGTCAAAATACATTGAGATAAACACTGGTCCGGGAGGGTTTAGCCACTCCCTAGCCCGCGAATCGGGTTTATATTTTTCCCCGGGGGAAAATTTTTTTTCCCCCCGGCAAAATCG